TTATGTTAATGTAATTTGTAATCAGTAATTTGTAATTTGTAATTTGTATTGTAATTTCTAATTCGTGTATGGACAATGGAAATGTGTTGCAACTTTCTATTTTTTTAATCGTCTATACATTTTATCATTTACTATTTACATCTAGATTGCCTTTGTAAATTTTTTTTAAATTAAAAGTTGGTGCAAGTGTAGGTCAAACTTGAATAATAAATTTTATTTTTTGTAATAATTATATTTATTTCTTTAATTATAATAATTATAAAATTAAAAGAAAGGTAAAATATAAAATATAAAATATAAACTTATATTATTTATTTCTGTATGAAATAATTATTCAGTTTCCTGAAGCAAAATATATAATATAAAATATTATATTATTTTGTATACTTAGAATGAGACTAATTGAGACTAATTAAAATGAAGCAAAAGTTATGCCATTTGTATAATTAAAATGAGACTAATTGTATAATTATTTTGTATAATAATTATAAAATATAAAATGAGACTAATTGTATAATATATTATAATATATAAAATATAAAATATAATAATTGTAATAATTTTATTTGTTGATTTATTAATTAATATACAAAATTTATTATAAAAATGTGCATTGATAACATCAACTTAATTAATTTATTAGTTTCAATCTGTTGCTTCTTAAATTCACGCATGACAGACGGTGATCCCTAAAGCCAAGCCACGTGGAAATATGTCCCTTTTTTTTCATGAATTACGGTAAGGGCAGTTGGGCAAATTTACATTCCACCATCATTTCAAACACGTTTTTCAATACAACAATTCAAATAAAAATTCATCTCATCTTTTCAAACACAAAAATTAAAATAACCTATTAAAATAGCTAAAAAGTCAAAAGGTCTAAAAAATAGTCATTTCCCAAACATCCACAATATATGGTTTCGAAGGTCTCGAAATAAGGATTCTAAGTATATAAAATTTGTAGACTGAAATTAAAACATGTAAAACCATCATGCAAACAAAGTTTCGGGAATATAAAATAGGACTCCATTTTTCTTGAAATCTAACCGTTAGATTTTCATAAAACTTTCCAGATATGTTCTACATGAAATGTACTACAACATATGTAAATTTTAGGTTGATCAGAGCAAGTTCGAAAAAATATTAATTTTCATACATATATCATGTATAAATATCTATATAATTATATACATATTTTAATACACAAAAACAAGCATGAAAATACCCTATTTAGCTTTGATACCAATGTAAGATATGTATAAAGCAGCGAGTAAAAAGATTAAAAGCATACCTTATGTTTTAGAATCCGAAACAAAGAACCTTGTAAGTAAATCACGTGTTTCACAATCACGAACTAAGAACACCCAGCAATGGAGTGATACTATAATGTGAGTATCACCCACTCTAGACACAATACAAAGGCTTGATCATTTTTCTAATGGGAGGGAGTTAGAGAGAGAGCATGGAAAAACAATACGTTATTTGATTCATCCCCAAATCTCATATATCGTATCTGATATATAGACTAACCATCTATCTATATCTCCTAAAAATATGATAGATATAGATAGATAGTAGGTTATCCTAACAAATAGGATAATCAGTAAATCAAATTCAAATTACATGGGTAATTCGAATAGACTATGGGTCATGCCACATGGGTGCCCAAATCCCGGTCCAATACCCGGCCCAATTTCGAACACTTCTAGCAAATTGGAAAGTACAAATTTCACATCAACACAATGTGGTCTGGTCGTTCTAGGGAGGCTCCAAGTGAAAGTGTTCTGGTGATCTGAGCTCATAGTAACTTGAATCATTAAAAGAAGGATTTATCTCATTGATTCATTGGATTTTTTCTTGATTTCCAAAAATTTATTTCTTGTGTTGGAACCCAAGGAAAAGCTTTGAAAACAAAGAGTGCCACCCAGGTTGATGTTGTGGAGTCCAGATCCTTTGCCGTGCCTTCTTGCGGCGGTTTCTGCCATGATTCAAAATGACGTCGTTTTTATTTTTTTTTCCCTTCTCTCCTTTCCCTTTCCTTTCTCTTTCATTTGCTTAAACCCTAACCCGTTGAGAGAAGCAAAGGTGAAATGGGGCAGTAGGCGCAAGCACAGCGAGTCGGCTACGACTGAGGCGACGACGAGGTCTTGCAATATTCATTCTTACATGGTATTGCAGATTGCTAGCTATCTCAAGCAGCAAAATCGATGGAAATTCAAAACCCATTTTGGTTCTTCACTCATTGAATCACATTGGTTTGTCAAACAACAAAATGACTGATTTCTCACCAAATCACCCATCCAAACAGACCTTTACAGTAAAGCAACAAGGGTTCTTTCTGTGTGTCTGTGTGTCTGTCTGTTTCAAAGAGAAAGGGAAGGAGAAGTGTCAATCCTTTCTGTTGAAAAGGGAAAATGTAGAAATCAAAGGGAAAAGAGCAATCTTTCTCCACAGACCAATGCCGAATTTTAATTTTTTTATAGGATGTAAGTAGAAATCAGAGAGAGCAATCTCTCTCTCTCTCTCTCTCTCTCTCTCTCTCTCTCTCTCTCTCTCTCTATAAAACTAAAAAGAAGAGAAATCTCACCATGAAGTCCTTGATTGAATCATACTCAAGAACAACATCCGCCAAGTATAAACACCAAAAAGAAAAGAAAAGAAAAGAATCATTGAGAAAATATAGAAATTATACAAGTATAAACAACTGATTTCACAAATGGGGCATACCATATTTATTAGGAAGAACAAGGGAGATAATGGTAGCACCCTAGTTGGTGAGCTTGAGAGAGAAATCTCCTCTCTTTAGCTCATAAATCCCAACATCTAGCTTTGATTCTGAACAATTTGCAAAAACCCAAACAACAATAATTATGAAGCATAACAATACCGAAATTTTCGATATATTTTTTTTTTCTCGCTTTCTTTCTTTTGGTTCAAAGGAATGGTGTGAGATGAAAAACGATGAGTGAAGGGGTTTGTACGGGTATAAGTACATATATAAAGCAAGAAAAGTGAATCTAGAGCTTTTAATTTTGAAGCAGCTATGAAAAGAGAGGTTTATCCAGAAAATTGTTACAGCCATTTATACAATTTCTGCTCAAAATTCATTCATTCCTTTGGTACCCATTGGCCCAGATTCCATCCTCTTCACAGCAATCTTAATCCCATCAGGCAATTCCCCTTTGTAAACAACTCCAAATCCTGCTTTCGCTCCGCTCTGATGCTTTCTGTTGCAACGACTACATACTCTCTCTCTAACTTTCTCTCTCTACATTCTCTGCAATTTGATGGAGCAATGAAGGAAGGACATCACCTCACCACCGCTGCCGCTGCCATCGCCTCGCCCGACGTCGCCTTTGCTTGCCGTGCTGTCGTCGTCGCGTCATCATCTCTCTTCTTCGTCTCTCTGGTTTGAGAGTTGAGTGAAAAGAAGAGGGGAGGAAAGCCAAAATGCAAAAAAAAAAAAAAAGAGTTCCAAAACGTCGTCGTTTTGGCCCACCGCAGGGATCACTGCAGGCAACAACGGCAGAAGTGGACACACTGATCTATTAGGAATCAGGATCCTCTGCCGTGGTAGCTTGCAGTGATTCCTACGGTGGTATTTTAAACGACGTTTTATTAAAGTTTTTTTTCTTTTTTTCCCTTCCTCATAACTCTCTTTTCCTTTCTCTCTCATCCATTACAACCTAAACTTGACAGACAAAACCAGAACAGAGGAAATGAGAGAGAGACGCTGAAGAAATAGAGTCGGCAAGGCGAGTCGGCGGTGAGGCTAGGTGAGAGAGGAGGAGCTCACATACCCTAGATCGAGGGTTTTCAAAGAGATATCGGCAAAGAAAACACAACACAACCATGGAAAGCTTCATTGCCTTCACTGCCTACAACACAGAGCCATAAACATAGATCTGCTGCTTGTATTGTTCCTATTTAATTTTAATGAACCCATTTGTTTTAAAATTTTAGACTTTTATGATAATAATTATACAAACCAAATTTGGAGATGATTGTTTAATTGGGAAGCTTCTTCATATATGAACAATTAAATTTAAGTTGTGGGCTTCTTGCCAACACTTTCTGCCCCTATATTCCTATGATTGTGTGAATTTTTGTATGTGTTGTCGGTGTATTGCATCGGTGATGAAACGATGAGAAATAGGGGCTTCGTTAACACAAAGGTTTGGGATGGAGGTGGAGGTGGGTTGCGACAGCGAGGTGGTGGGTGTAGGGAGGGAAGGGTTGGTAAATGTTTTGGGATGGCCAGCTCGCCGAAAATGGAGTGACGGCGAGATCTCTGGCGATATTTCTGTCCTTCCTTCTCTGAGTTTCTTCCTTTTCTTTCTTTCTCTTTTTTTTTTTTTTTCTTTTGGGCCCCAAAACGACGTCGTTTTGGGGCACTGCAGGAACCATGGTAGGAAACCATGGCAGAAGATCCGGACTCGATCTATTAGCTGCTTTCTTTCTTTTTCTTTTTTTGGCTTGATTTTATAGACATGGATTTGGGTTGTGGGTTGAGTGTGAACAAATTTTTATTTAAAATTTGCGGGTTGAACTTCTCCGCTCATCTATAGATTTCTGTGATGGGTTTGAAGATTTTGTTAATGGTGTTTTGTTTTTGGGATTGTACAGATGCAGATTCACCCTTGAGGTGGAAAGCTCTGACACCATTTACAACGTCAACGCCAAGATTCGGACCAAGGAGGGAATTCCACCGGACCAGCAGAGGCTGATCTTCGCCTGAAAACCACTAGAGGACGACCGACTACAACACCAAAAAGGCGTCGACCATCCACCCAGTCCTCCGCCTACGTGCCACAGCCGTGAGCCCCCTTCTCTCTCTCGATCTTGCCACCACTGTCGACGGTCAAGGCGAGAAGAAGAGGAAGAAGAAGAAGCGGAAGGGTGTGGGTTGATTGCAGCAGGGAGGTTGCTGGAGCTGGTTGGCCGGAACAGTTCTTGAATCTGTTTTTTTTTTTTTTGGTTGTGTGCACTAAAAGACGTAAATGGATACCATCGTAATCATTAGACGTGATTTGACATGGCATGTCAGGGCAATGGTCCTCTTTAGTCTCTTTCTGCAAACATTTCTATTCTTATTTGCCCCTTTGAGAAGGCGAGTGGCAAAGGCTTATATAGTAGTACCAATTTCGTTCGCATTCTTGAACGTAGATGTGGTTGCTTACTTAGCTATGACAGTCATCTCTAGTACAGTAGGCAACACCTCTGGTGGCTCTTCCTCTGCTAGTCCGGAACTTGTAGGATTCTGGGCTACCTTTCTCTTGGTACACCTTGGTGGTGCCGATACCATCACTGCTTTCTCGCTCACGGACAATGAGCTGTGGCACAGGCACCTCCTTCAGCTGGTGTCTCAGAGTGCCACTATTGCTTATCTCTTCTTTGTCACTCTCTCATCCAAAAACAAGCTGTGGCTCCCAACACTGCTCGTATTTGTTGCCGGGTTTATCAAATATACTGAGCGAATCCGTTCTCTCTATCTTGGTAGCTGGCGTAATTTCCAAGACTCGTTGCTTACAGAACCCGATCCTGGGCCTGATTATGCCACACTCATGGATATATATTCTTCCAAGAAAGAAGCAAAGCTTCCAAGCCGGATAGTGATGATTCCAGAACCCGAAAGAGTTCCCAAGAAAATTAAGGAATATGAAGACGAACCGACCCCTTTGAATGATTTGGAAGTGGTACAATATGCTTATCACTTTTTTCAAACTTTCAATGGACTGGTATTCTGCTTTGATGAGAGAGCCCAGAGCCGAACCTTCTTCCTCAACAGAACAGCAAGAGATGCTTTTAAAGTGGTAGAGCTAGAACTCAATTTCTTCTATGAAATTCTCTACACCAAGGCCAAGGTGTTGCGAGGTAGATATGGATTTCTTCTTCGGTTTGCTTCATTCGTGTTAACTGTGGCAGCCATTGTCCATTTTTATTTGATTGACAAGCAGGGATTCCAGAAAATGGATCTTAGAATCACCTACATCTTGCTCCTTGGTGCCATTGCCCTCGACATATCATCATTTCTCAAGGTCGGTTTCTCTGATCAGATTGCTGTGGCCCTCACTCAGTCCAACAATCCATCCTTGGTTGTTCGAATCCTCAGGAAATCCCTCAATGTTAATAGGGAAAGGTGGCCTGATGAAAACTCTAACTCTACCCAACATTGTACTACCTGTTCTTTTGGGAGGTTTATGCAAGTCATGCATCGCACGTGGTCTGAATCTATCTATCAACGCAACTTGATACGTTATTGTCTAAAAAGGGGAAAGTTCTTTGGCCATAAGAAGGGGTCAAAATATTACTTCTGGGTTAAATTCACCAATGACCTACGAGACTTTATCTTCGAGGAACTGAAGATGAAATCTAAGCTGGCGGATGATATAGAGACTGCCAAGGAGATACATCAAGCCAGGGGTGATTGGGTTCTTCGAGTGGAAGGTTGCACTGACTTACTCCATTGGATCAACGATAATGATTTTGATGAGAGCCTTCTTTTGTGGCACATCGCTACTGAACTCTGCTTTGCCAGAGAGGACATTTCTATGAATAAGGATTTTCGTGGTTTGTCAAAGATTCTGTCAGATTACATGTTATATCTTCTGCTGGTTCCGTACAAAATGATGTCTGCCGTCGCACGTATTGGGCAAATAAGATTCCAAGATACCTGTGCCGAGGCCATAAATTTCTTCAGAGAAAGAAAAATAGGACAGTCTAAGAAAGTGCCTTTACACATACAAGCCTGCAGAAGTATCCTTAATGTCAATGTAACAGTTAAACCAGCTATTGTCAAGGGAGATAGAAGCAAGTCTGTGTTGTTTGATGCATGCATGCTTGCCAAAGAGCTGGAGGAATTAGGAGAGGGGAAAAAATGGGTGATAATTAGCAAAGTTTGGGTTGAAATGCTGTCCTATGCTGCCTCTCGTTGCACAGCTCTTGCCCATGCCCAACAACTGTGTAGAGGTGGTCAACTCATCACATTTGTTTGGTTGTTGATGTCTCATTTGGGCTTAGAGAATCAGGTTCAAATAAGTGAGGGCCATGAGAGGGCAAGATTATTTGTAGGAAAGTAGTTGAATGCATTTGTTGTGTAACAATAGATTGAAAATGTGTAATTTGTTGAGTAGTCTTCATTGGGAAATCTTGACTAGTCATCATCGGTAATAAAGAGATGTGCTTCTGGTTATGAATTTGAAGAAATTATTTTTTACTCTACTCTATTACTCTGTTGTTTACATTTACTGCAGAAAGAAATTAAGGGTTCATCATCAAGGAATTTACATTTTTAGCAAGAGAACGCAATGTCATAGTGAATGATGAATATATATATATACACACAGTGCATGACTCTGGCCACATTTACTTTTGTTCTTAACATGATGCATTTGCTTAGTGAACTCGAGGAAACTTGAGAAAATTTTGGAGTTAAAGTAGAGATAGTTAGATGCTAGCCTTGTTCTCGCAATGTTTCTTGGGAGTTTATGGCATATTCTTATGTGGAGCAATGTTACACGGATTTTTCAGAATAAATCAAATACATGTGTCAGACTTTCGACACTCAGACAAAGATATGAGCCATGTGTCGGATATTTTTCAACGAATAATTCTTATATAATTCTATACAACACTATTATTATATGTACATATTGTTGTATAATTGCTATAAATATCTTTTTGACACTATGAGTTACATATAGCACCATTTTATCTTATTTACTTAATTAAAAATATAAAAATATGACATTTTTTTTTTTGCCGAGTCCGCGTATCCTTAATTTTATGGTTTGATGAATCCGACCTCTAGATACATACCCACACCCGATATCTGTACCAGAGTTCATATAACATAGATGTGGAGGCAACCAACTAGGCATAGCCTAGTTGGCCACCAAGACTTTTTTAAGGCTTAGTCCGAAGGACTTGGCCCTTTGCAAAGAGTGGAAAGACTAACTTCCATAGGTACTAATCTAACAAGTAACAATTAACTTCCGCCGATAAAATAAAAATAAAAAAATAAAAATAAATATTCTTATGTGGAGGCTTAGGGTTTATATAGGATGCTCCAAGGGAGTATTTACAGCTCAATTTTTCATGCTCAAAAATCAAATGTAGGAATGTACAAAAACTGGACAACTACAAATAAATCGAGTTGAGAACAAAAATAGGCTGACTGGTGGGAAAGAAAGCCAGCCAGCCCTAGGGGCCTAGCTTGGGTTTGTCTCTCTTCGGGTTTGTTTCGGAGCTTTTTGGATCAAATTTTGAACTATCCAGGCTTGCAACGGGGACTCAAAACATATACGAACATGTTAGGGTCTAGATAATGATTCATCAATATGAATTATATATGTACATTCTGTGTTTAGTACTTTCAATGCATGTAGTACGACTGTTACCAATTTCAGTTTACTTACTAATCATATCGCTCTGTTACCAATTTCAGTTTACTTATGAATCATATCGCTTCAGGTGCCCAAAAATCCTACCGAAAGTGATCTCCGTTCAGTTTTTGCTCTTCTTGGGTTGATGACCCATAGTTACAATTCATCCCGCATTTACAGAATTACTAGAGCCGCTTGCAGGACTCTAATTAGAAATTATTTTTTTAATCAAATTTCATATCTTGGGTTGATGACCCACCATCACTTACAGTTTCTTGAGCATTTGAAGAACTAGCAGCAGAACCGCTTGCCGGACTTGAATGTGATTTTTTTTTTTTTTTTTTGGGTTCTTTTTTGCTCTTGGATGCTTGATACACACATACAATATATAGGAGGCAGCTACTCCCTGGACGGCACTGTTTCAGCCACGAGGTCCCTCACTGGTCTCACATTGATAATATTATATTTCAAACCACAAAGTACAGATTATCCCTGAAAAAAATAGGTTGGTCTTATAACCTGGGGCGGAGGGACATAGTGGCAAGGGGAGTCACGTGCCTCCCTGACTTTTCAAATTTTTTTTTTTGTTTTTTTGTTTTTTGTCTTAGCTTACACACAGTCCTGCCCCCTTCACACACCCAATTTTACCCAAGCACACTGACACGCGCACCTACGATTTGTTTTGTTTTATTTTGTTTTGTTTTTATTTTTATTTTTTTTAGTCCTAATCTCAACCAAACACTAACACGCAACTTTTTTTTTTTTGGTGAGTGCACATAACTCCAATTACAGCAAAGTTAAAATCCTAAAATCCTAAAAGTGTGTGAAATTCTTTATTTTTTTATTTATTCACAATATTTGTTAAGTGTTTTCATATTTTATTTGTCTTCTTTGTCTCCCTTTGTTACTTTGCAATTTATTAACTCGCGATTCACCATATTAGATTCACACAGCACAGCTTTGGGACCACACTACAACCTTGGTATATTCTCTTAATTGTTTACAGGTAACTTTATTTATTAATTTTTACTTATAAATAAAAATTATGAGTATTAATTTATAGTTATTTATTATTTTTTGCAATTTTATTTGTTATTATTTATGTTAAAATAAGATATTTTGATATGCTAAAATTATTAATCTTAATTGGTGGTGATTTATATTAAAAATTAGGGATTTTTGTTTGTTGTTGTTTGTGCTAAAATTAGGTATTTGATTGGTGCTAAAATTAAAAATATTAATTGGTAGTGATTAATATTTAAATTAGGGATTTTAATTTGTTATAATTTGTGCTAAAATTAGAAATTTTGATCTGTTGTGATTTGTGTTAAATTTAAATTTTTTCATTTGTATTAAAATTAGAGATTTGGATTTGTGGGGGTTTGTGATTTTGATTATGAATTTTTATTTTGATTTTTATTTGTTAAAACAGTCATGGAGAAATATTTAAAAAGAAAATCAAAGTTGGAATCATCTCTTCCTCAAGAAGAAGATGATAATTAATATTTGCTCTTGACTTTAGCATTAATCTTACCTGATGTAACTGCTACTATTGAGAGGGTATTTTCAGCTATTAATATTGTGAAGAATCAGTTGCGGAACCGAATAGATGATGAATGGATGAATGATAGCTTGGTTGTCTACATTGAGAGAGTTATTTTTTATGGCATTGACAACGATACTATTATGGAAAGATTTCAAAAGATGAAAATTCGTCGAGATCAATTGTAAAAGTTGAAAATTAAAAACTTTTTGTAATGAATATTACTTTTAAATGTTTAATATTAGCTCAAGAAATGATTATTATGTTATTGTTATTGATTGGGGAAGAAACATTTTGAGATTATAATTAATAAGTGCCTCCTATATTAAATTCCTATATTAAATTTGTTTTCCACGATTATTCCATCTGTTTATTAGTTGTATTTCGCCTTCTTCTTCGCTGCACATCGCTTTCCTTTTTGGTATCAGAGCCAAGTTATGCTGCAGTCTGTTGTTTACTGTCTTGTTAATTCCAATTAATCATTCTCTATTCTGCTTCGTATCTGCTTTCAGTCATCTTAATCTGTCAAAATTCTATCTGTGTCTTCCCACTTTGTAACTAGCCACCCAATCTTCGTCCCAGTCCTTGGTAACTAATAAGCAGATGGAATAATTGTAACACAAAATAATATGCACACAAAATATAATCAAAATCACTATAATTTAATCAAAATAACTTACAATTGTTTAATGGAAGTAACTACAAGGAGTTGCTTCAAAATACATAACTTGAAAATAAATTTTAATTACAGAGGTAGGTGTTGGTTCTCACTCAGAGTTTTCAATTTTTCTAACCTCTGCCTACAAATGACTAAAACATTAGAATTTATAGAAAATAAATTAACTATGCAGCATATGACTTGATGATTGCTGAAGCAGCTGGCAGCACATGGGACTGAGCAGGCTGTCGGTTGCTTTCGGCTGATTGACTAAAAGTTGATGTAGCTTTTGACTGATGTTGATTAGTGAACAGTGAAAGTGAATAGTAACTTTTTACTATGCATTACTTTCGGTGGAGACATGTGACTAAAGGAATCAATATAAATACAAATCGACAGCTTTTCTCAAAAGAGTATTGATTGAAACTAATTTGTATCTATATGGAATCCAATGCAGGGCTGACTAGGCATATGGATCCTATGCATCTTGAAACTCGGGTCCATTTGGGATTTGAGTAGTTGAACCTTCAGAAGAATGTGAACTGTCTGAACTTTCTTCTGAACTGCTGTTATCCGAATCTGACCGGGCTTGGGCCATAAGGAGACGAGCCATTTGGAGTAGCTCATCTTTAGATGACTTGGATTTAACCTTGGGCTGAGCCTATGATGCAGGAGTTGTAGACTTAACCTTGGATTTTGCTTTACTAGATTTGGGTTTTGCTTTATCCTTGGGTTTAATCTTTGACTTGGGCTTGGAAGAACTTGTAGATGGACTTCCAAGGTTGACTGTAGGAAGTTGGCTTCCTTGTGTGATTGAAACAGTTGGGATCTACTGAGCTTTAACCATGGCAGGTGTAGGAGCATAAATGTTAATCGGGAACTTAGTTTGAACAATTTCAACAATGCGGGAAACTTTGAAGTTATCCCGCCATTTAACCATATGTTGCCGCTAAATAACATCATCAGAAATATCATATTGCCATTTGAATATCCAAGGGATTTTATATTTGGATATAAAAATAAGCAACAAAGGAAATTTCTGTTGCTGTGGAGTGAATGAGAAAACAGTTGAAAAATAGTTAATCTGTTCGATCAAAATAGACGGGAAGATATCTGAAATGGCGCCATAATGAGTCCACCATCGCAGAAACCAAGTAGGTAATTCTGATTTGAACTTTTGATCAAATTGGAGAAACCAGAAGTGACTATTGGTTTCATTTTGATATAAAAATACTTTGGACCAGGCATCAATATAGTCATAATAACTATACTGAAGAGAGTGATTAGGTAAATAGCGAAGTTGATAAGGAGAACCCCATTCAACTAAGGAAACAATGTTGTGAATATAAAATAATGGTAAACAACTTTACTACTGTAGGTGCGATCATAAATGGGTTTAATCACAATTGACTGATGGTTGAACAGGATGTCTTTATAGAAGGTGATTGTCTTTTCTGGATGGAAAGGAATAAAATGTCATCCAGGAGGGAAATA